GAAGAATAATAGATTTCAAATCTAAGATCCTAATCTATGAAAGGAATCTCAAAGATCATCTAGTTCAGTCCCCCAGTTTGGAAACTGAGGCACAGAGAGGTTAACTGACTTGTCCAAAGTCACAAGGTATTAAAAGACGTCTAAGACTTCAACCCAGACCCTTTATGCTTTCTGTCATTCAACACTGCCTCTGTATTACACGCTTCTTTAAAACTGTTATTCAGAAACGTGTCCCTCTTTAGTCAAATGAAATTGATAGTAATTACAAGCCAAAAAGAGATTCCAGCACATGTAAAGAGTGGCGAGCACCAGCTCCAGGAATGATGTTACCTGCAGTGTTTACATGTTAACAATAGCATATGTTGAAAACTATTGTGCCAAACCAGAAAGCGTTTCCTTCTTGAAACAGTCCTAGGATATGAGGTAAAGTTCAAAATCCTGGTTTGGAATTTATGAATGTACATAATTTGGGAGGATTTGTTAGTTACTAAATTTCCTAAGTTATTAGATATTGAATTATGTGTTAACATTGCCTGCTATTTTATACTTTTTTTACATTTTACATTTAGGCTGAAGCATTATTGTACGAATTTGCTTGAACCATTTATTTAGTCTCATTAATGGAAGCATAGCTTTAAGTTGAAGCATTGATCTAAAGTTTTTTGATTTTTAGATAGGTCGATAGATGTAGATATACACACATATATATATATACACACATACATACATATATACATACACACACTGCTTTAGGTAGCATTTTACTTTAGTGGACATAAGGACATATTCTCTTAATTTTGCTGAAATATCTCAGACATAGGCAGGGACAGTGAACATACTCTCTTATGAAATTTACAGAGATCGACACTGATGCTGGACTTATCTATCCTCTGCACAAATGTTTCACTCTCTTATAAAGGATTGTGTCTTCAGACCTGTTTTCTGCCTTTCTGTCTCTCTTGCTTCCCCCATTTCCCAAAGAGGAGGGATGAGATGAAATTTTGCTGTTACTGGCAGAGATTGACTTTTTACTTAGATAGACATGCTGAGTTATATTCCTCACTTCCATTAATACACATTGAGCTCTTTTTTTTTTTTTTTACTCCCAGCTTTGAATCACACAGTTTCTCCCACAGAGAAAAAAAAAAGTTCTTTTCCCTGCTCTTCATGTAGTGAATCAGTCCCCATTCATCACTCCAGATCCAGTCTTTTAACTTCATTGTATTAGCTCTTTTTGACCTCATCCTTTGTTGAAGTTTTACTCTTTTGGGCTGTTAATAATAATAATAATAGTATATTAATAATAAAAAAGTGTCTTGCATTGACACTTCACTCTTTCATGTACTTATGTATTATTTTTACCAATAGGAACATCCCTGTGGCAAGGACCTTGTCTTGTGTCTCTTAATGTTTAGGCGAGTGCTTTATAGCTAAAGCTTAATATGTACTCCTAAAATGAAGCCAACACAGATTTCAGTGAAACATTGAATTTCATTCCTTTCGTTTTAAATCGATTATCTCACTGCCTTTATAAGGAGAGATTTCATAAAAAAAAAAAGTATGATGCTTCAGGCAAGAGATATTTTTACAAGTAAGTCACCTTCTTCCTTTCCTTTCTTTTCCAGTAACACCAGAGAAGGGGGAAGAGAAAGAATCCCTCATCCATAAGAACTTTTATTTCCCTATAGCAGAGATATGTTTTCTATAGTTTGAAGGCTGAAATTTACCAACCAAAATCCATCTATTTTCTCTTTGTTTAGAGGAAGTGAGGTGTTTCATTTTGTTTGGTGACATTGAGGAGGGACAACCAAGAGGGGCTGAAGAATATATCCTTAGTGGTTATTGGCTGCTGTCCTAATTTATTTATAGCCTGTGTTAACAGCTGGATCACTGGACCCAAAGAGGGTAGGCATTTACCTCTCCCACTCGGGCCTCCTACCTTTGAGATCATATCGATCAGTTTTACCACTGTGGTGGGGAAAAAGAGAAGAGCTGCCTTCCCAAGAGAGAAGTCAGACTCTATTTCATACCTCCTTGGAACTCCAAAGAAAATCATTTAAAGCTTAGATTTGCAGCATTTCTAGGGTCTCCCTAAAAGGTAATTGGAAGGTACTTAACTTGCATTATAGATAAGCATTCAGCAGCTATTTATTTCCTCCACACAAAAGAAATTCTCAAAACACAAAAAACTCAATGTGCGTTGACAAAAACTTTAAAATGACATAGTGATCAATGACTCCTTACTATATTTTCTTGAGAGAGTGATACCTAAAATGGTCACCTTTACTTTGTCCCTTCACTGTCCACACAACTCCCTCAAAATCTTTGTTTGCTGGCAATCCAGGTCAGGGCTTGGGCTCTTCCTCCTGTCAGTCTTCATAGAAGTGGTACAAGGAGATGTGTAGCCCACACCAAGTAAGGGATCTAAAGAACTCCACACATGTTTAGCTCACAACGTTGCCTCCCAAGCTGGAAACATCCATATTGGAATCACTGTTTATTATCATTATTGTCATTGTAATAACAGCAACAATAATAATAGCTGGCATTTATGTAATGCTTTAAGGTTTACAAAACACTACGCATTATCATTTAACTCTCACAACAACCCTGTGTGAGGTAAGTACTATTAAGTAGCTTAACCAAAGTCAAAAAGCTTGTAAGTGTCTGAGGCAGGATTTGAACTCAAGTCTTCCTAACACTAAGTCCAGTGCTTTTACTCACCTTGCCATCTAATGCTTCTCTGTATAGTCACCTGTGCTTAGGGAAAGAAACAAGATGGAAGAGGCCATCAAGTCCTTGAGCTCCCTACTCTGAATCACCTAGATAAGCACATGCTGTAGTTGCCTTGTTTAGCAGCCACCATCGGTTTTGGGGCGCTGGGGAGCAACAAGGTGTCCCTCTATACCTGCACAGGAAGTCCAAAAGAAAACCTCATGGAGCCCCTACATGATCAATAGACTGGAAGAGAGAAGGCTACTCTAGAGGCTAGAGTTGTTGTTGAGCAAGGAAATGACTTGGCACGAGCTGTAGATTAATTTGGAAGTAATAAATTGGAAGAGTAAGCAAAGGGTTACTAGCCACATAGGGTCTACTTAAATTATAGCAGTGGATGGAGCACAGGCCCTGGAGTCAGAAGGAACTGAATTCAAAGGTGGCCTTAGACACTTACTAGCTGTGTGGCCCTGGGCCAGTCACTTAACCCCAATAGCCCCCACCTCCAAGAAAGAAATGCATGTGTGTGTATGTATACATGTATATATGTATGTATGGCATACTAACCATATATAGTAGACTGTAAATTCTCTGAGGGTAGGAACTATATCTTTCCTCAATGTTGTATGATCCTTAGCCCTTAAGGAAGTATTTAGGTACAGATGTCCTGAAGAAAGGAGTCCCAAGCTTGATAGGTAGGTCACCCTAAAATTACATGGAGATAGTAATGGGAAACATCCTAAGAGAAAAGTCTTGGAGGTAGGAAAACTAGAGAATGAGAAAAACAAAAGTGCCTTGTTTAGCTGAAGCAGAGTATTTTTAGGGAAATTTTGGGAACAACTCAGTGGAGATCTTGTGGAAGGCCTTAAATTCCAGTCAGAGAAGTTTGGGCTTAACTTGATAGACAATGACTTGGCATGAGCGGTAGATTTATTTGGAAGCAATAAATTGGAAGAGTAAGAGAGGGGTTACTAGCCATACAGGGTCTACTTAAATCATAGCTGGTGTCTTCCTGTCTGGTTAGAGAACCAGGTGAAGGAGAACATTGAAAAGAATGAAACAATAAAAGGAAAATGAATGGAGGGGGAAAATTTTAAGGTGTTCTTCAGTCTAGTTCATTGTCCTGGAATCTGTAGCTTTTCGGTAGTTTTTCAATTATTCTCTACGTTTGTTTCAGGAAGAAACTTGGAACCACTCAAAGTGCTGCACATTCTGGCTCCATAGATCCCAAATGTTGTCTACTTTCTTTTATTCAGTTCTAATCTCAGTCATTGCCATATTCAGTATCCATTTGAGACACACACGTGGCTGTGTGGACTATCCTTCAGCTGCACGTTATTAGTATCATTTCTCTTTAGTAAGCTTGTATACATCTTTCTTCACATAGAGTAAAATGTCCCAGTGAATGTTCCAATAAAAAATTAGTTTCTATTATATGTGTTATCTTTTTAAAATAGCAACTTGCAAAAGAATGACTCAGCATGTGAAACAGGGACAAATATTCTATTGTTAAAAATCATTCAGTCAAAAAGTGTTTTTGAGTGCCTAATAAGTGTCCAGAACTGTGCTCATTTAAAAATACTTGTTAAAATCACTATGAGAAAGAGATTAGTAATGAAAATAAAAACTGTCCTGTCTGTAGCTTTGTAAATATATATTTGTGATTTTAGCTGCTTGGATGTGTGTGTGTGTGTGTGTGTGTGTGTGTGTGTGTGTGTGTGTGTCCACACATCTATACACACACATATATATAATCCACATACATTTTTAAAATTGTGAACATTCATATTATTTAATTAAATTAACAGGCAGATTGTGTTAATGTTTTGTGGTATTTTGCTTTTCTAACATAGAACCTGTAATTATAACTCAATTTAGTTGTATTTCATTATGGGTAAACATTGATAAACCAGTTGGTAGTGGTCATTTAATTAATCCTGAATTTTTTATTTAGGTAGCTCTCTTGTTTGGGGATATCCTAAGCAGCACAAAAACTAGAGCTGTGGAGGGACTTTGGGATCTCTAGTAGCGTCTGTAGCATATTTGTGAGCCAAATTTGGTTTAGGAAAATACTACTGTTCCTTATCAGCAGGCAGACCTCAATCTGTGGGAAATTATACATAACACAATCCCTTGGTGGAATGGCATGATTTGTTTTCTATATATGCTAAGGCTTCTTAGATGCCAGGATGACTCTCAGAAGCTCTGTAATCAAGATTTTTTTTTTCTTTAAATAGCAAAAAAAGAATAATCTACAAACCATTTCTGTTTTCTTGCTATTTTAGGAGATATTACCCAGAAAGGATATGAGAAGAAAAGGTCAAAACTTCTGTCTCCTTACATCCCACAGATACAAGGTAGGCATTACTCTAGTGAAAAAGACTTTGATTTTTTTTTTTATTTTAATCCAAAAAAAGAATAATCCCTTATCTTAATTTGTTCTCGTTCTCGTTTGCTCCCTATCAAACATTTATGGAGCAACACTGATCTAAGATGATGCTGAGCAGGAACTCACAGACCCAGACACACATGCATATGTGTATGTGTATGTATTTATGTCTGTATGTGTATGTGTATAATAGAGAACGGAGCCATCAGAAGGGCTTGGGGAGAGGAGGATACTAATCACAAAAAAAAAACCTTAGGATTTTGCATACTTACCTGGATTTATATTTTCTAAAACAGAAGGATTGGCAAATCATAAATGCACAAAAAGGTTTTTTCTAGTATTTATTTTTCTAATAGGGAACCTATAAAGGGACTCAACCATTCAGTTCAATTCATCAGATATTTATTAGGTGCTGGATGGTAGGCCCTGGGGATTCTCAGTAAGTGTCATTTCACCATAGAAGAGAGTTGCTTGAAGCTCAAAAACAGTTGAGTGACTTTACCCAGATCTCACCACAAGTAAGATATGAAACTTAATATCCTTAGGGAGTTTGCATTCTGTCTTTGCTGTCTCCAAATGAGATTAGCTTCAGATATATTCTAAAAATTATCCAACAAGAGATAGTCCATGATTTTCTTTAATAAGTCTTTTTTCAGTGGTAATTAGATTTGCCATAAGGAATTTCTTTCTCCTAACTATTTTTGTAATTAAAACCCTTGTCTGTCCTCAGTAGACATGGAGAGAATAGTTAGCTCATTTCCTCCAGGGTGCTCTTCCACATTTAGATCTTTCCTCAGTTATTTTCTACCTAAAATCAGAACATCCATGGAAGTAAAAACTAATTTGTATGATTTTTTTTTTTACCTTTGTAATGAGGTTCTTCCTTTTGTAAGGTTAGAATAAATACATGATCAAAAGTTTCTTTTAAGATCATTAACCTTCTGAAGACAAATATAGACAAATGGCATATGATTTGATAATTAAGTGCTGACCATCTTGTGCTTTGGGCAGCTAGGTGCCACAGTGGATAGAGTGCTGGGCGTGAAATCAGGAAGACTCATCTTCCTGAATTCAGATCCTGCCTCAGACACTTTCTAGCTGTGTGACTGTGGGAAAGTCATTTAACCCTGTTTGCCCGTTTCCTCATCTGTAAAATGAAATGGCAAACCACTCCAGTATCTTTGCCAAGAAAACCTCAGATGGAGTCACAGGGAGTCAGACACAACTGAATCAACTTAACAATAACATCATATGCTTAGTCACTTGTATGCTGTCTTAGGCTAGTGATAGTGGAAAGAACCCTGAAGGCCTTGGATCACATCTGGCCTCTAGTCAGCACATTTAGTCACGTAAATAAGAATTTCAGAATTTCCTTTCCAACATGACAGATAAATGTTGTCTAGCCTTAGCTTTCCTTTAGTAAAGGTTCCTCCCAGGACAGCCCATTCCACTTTTTAAAAAATACTTTGTAATATCATTTGTTTTTCATATTATCTGCATTTCCTTTTGTATCCTTTTCTCCCAGAGAGCCATTCCTTATAGCAAAGGGAACAGGAACCAGTTCAACAAAACTAGCCACTTTCTACACCCACGACTTTAAGCTCTGCAGAAAAGGGGCAGATACCTTTTCCAACCTCTCTTTTGGGAGGAAGTTTGGTCATTACATTTCTATAGCATACAGGTTCAGTTCTTTTACTGCTGTTTCTCTTTCTGTTGTCATGGTCAGTGACTATATTGTTATCCTAGTTTTGCTTCACTTTGCATTAATTCATCTAAGTCTTCTCTAACTTAGGAGTCCCTAAATTTTAGTGACTTGCCCAAGGTCATATGGATAATTAAATGGCAGAGTCTGGATTAAAACTTAGTTCTTCTGAGTCTAAATCCACTGTTTTTATGACTGTACCATGATGCTGCTTTAGAGTAGCTGTAATTATTAAGAAATTTTCCCTTCCATTTTACTTAAATCTTCCTCTCTACTACTTTGTCCCATTGCTCTGCCCTCTGGAGTCAAGGACAATTCTAATCCTTCTTCAAACATGACAGTCATTCAGGTATTTGAAGTCATTTCATATCCCTTGCCAAGTCTTCTGTTCTGCAGAATAGCACTCTTACTACCCTATTCTTCCCTCCTCATATGATAGGATCTTAAGACCCTTCCTTCCTGATTGCCCTTCTCTAGACTCTTTCCCACTTATCAATATCCTTCCTAAAATGTGGCACCCCAGACTGTCACTGTATTCTGTATGTTATCTGAACAGGGCAGGACACTGCTTCTCTTAATAGAGCCTTAAAATAAACATTAACTTTTTTGGTTACCATACAGTCTTGAATCATCCTGAGTTTGCTTTCCCCAAGATCAAAGAGATGCAATTTGTATTCTGTCATATGCACATTATTTAATTTGTCTTAACACGCCAACCTTTCAGGATCTTTTTTGAACTGCAGTCCAGTGTGTTAATGATCATTCCCAGCTTTTTCTCATGTGCAGATTTGATAAGGAAGCAATTTAATGCTTTTATCCAAATTCATGTCATTGATAAAAATGTTAAAAAGTAATAATAGACAGACTATTAGCAACCATATGAAAGAATACTCCAAATTACTAATAATAAGGTAAATTAATAACTGAGTTTCAAATTAGGACATTTACCCTCCATACATTCTGTGTTGCCTCCGAAATCCTCTGCCAAATTTCCTAGAAAGCTTAGCATTTCAGCAGTTCTGTTCACTAGTTCTTTTAGTACCTGCTAATCTGGACAAGGTGATTTAAACTCATTGAAGACAACTTGGTGCTCCCTTTTACTATTTCCTTGCTTTTCTTGGGTATTGACTTCCCTAAAATCCACATGTGTTCTGTCCTTTGCAGTACAAATGTCATTGCCCTGGACAAAGAATACAGAAACAATATACAAATTCAGCACCTATGCCATTTTCTTTGTAGTTAGCTATCATTGCTATTTAATTTTAGCAGTTTGTTTATTCTGTCTTTCCCCGGTATAGCTTTTAAAAATCCTTTTTCTTATCATTATTCCTGCTTAAATTCAGTTCTTTCTGAGCTTGAGCATTACTGACACTATTATTATGGTACTGTACTGTAGTTTTGTATTCATCCTTGGTTATCTGCTCATTCTTCCATCTTCAATATATGTCATTTTAAAATGTGAGTTGTTAGATGTTTCCTTGTGTATCCATAGCAGTCTCTTCAGACAACATCACTTTCTCCACCAGGTTTGTTTATCTGCATATCTTCAGAATCTTATTTTTGGGAGTTTATCAGAACGAATGTCCGCACCAACCTTGTCCCAAAAAAAAAAATTGTCTTATTTTGCTTTCTGAGTTCTTTACCTTTCTCTCAGGAGATGGGTAGTATATTTCATTGTTAGTCTTCTGGAATCCTGGTTGGTCATCACACTGATAAGAGTTCAGCGGCATCATCATCATTATAATTCATCACATTTATATACCATAAAAGATTGAGAAGAAAGAAAGGATACTGGATTTAGGAAGTTGTTGTTCAGTTGTTTAGTTATGTCTGACTCTGTGACACTGAGGTCTGTAGCACACCAGGCCCTTTTGTGCTCTACAATCTCCAGAAGTCTGCTCCAGAAGCTCACGTTCATTGCTTCCGTGACACTATCTATCCATCTCTTTTTCCTTTTGCCTTCAATCTTTCCCAACCACTTCCCAGAGTCAGAGTGCCTTGAGATTTTGTTCTCTCTTCTTACTAGTAGTGCAACCTTGGACAAATAATTTCACTTCTCTGAACCTGTTTCCCCTTCCATAAAATGAGAGCATTGAACTAGATGACTTCTAAGGCCCTTTCAACCTCTAGATTTATGATCTCATGATATCCTAACTCTTAATCTGTGATTTAATTGAAATCTTCCAAAACATAAAAATAATTTTCAGCCTTTATCAAACACACATTTTACACTTCCTTGTCAGAAGGCGGCAGTAGTGACTTCCAAAATTATTTTATTTCTCTATCATTAATCTCCAAAGTATTAATCATAAGAAAAAGAAAGCTGTATTTAATAGTGCAACTGCACTTCTTTTAGGGAGGAGAGAAAGACTAAATCTCGCATTTACATTCTTCGTCTTCCAGTTCTCATTTAGGCATAATTGTGACACCTAGTGGATATAGTGGATACGTAGGAAAACAGAAAATATTGAAAGATTAGAAACTCCCAAGTTGTTTTTTCTACTTTTTGTAATATGTAAGATGTTTACTTAAGTGCACTTCAATGCTTCTGATACTAGAGTTTGTGATCTCCCAGGGAGGAATAGACAAGAATAGTTTTGTGAAACTGACAGAGTATCCTCTCTCAGCTTACCCACAGCCATTGCCATTGAAACCTTCTCTTCTTCCTTTAAGCATATTTTTATTTCATATATTGAAAAGGCTTCTTCTCAGACACTCAGATAACAAAAAATTGTTATGTCTAATCTCTTCGATATAGGGAACTAACATAAATTTAGTAAAAGCTGTTCCATAGTGAATTAAGTGGCCAAAAGATATAAACAATCGTTGAAAAATTGTGAACTGTTAACCATATGAAAGATTTCTCCTTAATTTAATAAAGAAAAATACTGATAAAAAATAATTTTGAACTTTCACTTTGTATCCAACAAATTGACAAAGATGACAGAAGTCATTGTTGGGAGTGTTTTGGAACGATGGCACACTAATGCACCATTATTTGTGGAACTATGAATAAGTACAATCATTCTGAAAAGCAGTTTGGAATTAGGCTAAAGAAGCTAACAGAATACCTGTACTCATTGGCCTAGGGAAGCCATGAATAGGCATATCCTGAAGAAGTCAGTCAGAAAAGTTCCATATGTAACAAAATATTTATTACATGACTTTTTGTGGTAGCAAAGACTAGGAAACAAACTATATCACCATGTATTGGGGAATGACTAAATAAGTTGTACCACACGAATGTAATAGTATTTTTAGGTTGT